GATAAGCCAGGTTTCAGACTGCAAGACCACGTGTTGCCTGCACTGTGTGCCCTCCATGACCCACTCCAGCCACAAGACAGGTTCTGGTGGCCAGGAGACCAAGAAGGGGTTCTAGGAAACATGGTCATGTTAAATTAACACGAAACCAAAACCTTATTCTTGGCCTGACATAACAATAACTGCCTCAGCTACAGATGTAACCTGGAGACCTAAAAGGAGGTTGTCTAAGACCTCTGTAATCTGGGATTTTTTTTCTATAAATGTTGGAGAGCCTTGGTGTTCATCTTTAGATGATCTGTCATCTTTTCTATTAACCCTCTCTCTCATAATCTTATCCAGTCTCATGATCTTATAAATCACTTACTATATGCTGATGGCTTCCAAATTTATATCTCTGTAACAGAACGTCTCAACTGAAATTCAGACTTGAATATTCACCTGTCAATACCTCCACTTAGATTTCTAATAGAAATCTGATACTTAATATGTTGAAAACTGACTTCCTAATCTTCTCAAAAAACCTATTCCTATTGCTGTCTTCCCCACTTCAATTTACAGCAATTCCTTACTTCCAGTTGCTCAGTCCAAAACCTTGCAGTCTTCCTCAACTCTTCTACTATATGATAGTTCATGAATAATAAACTTTATGAATCTTTGCATGTCTGAAAATGCTTTGTTATGCTTTCATATATGAATAAAATTGAGAATTCTTTCAAAGTTATTTTCCCTCATATTTGGAAAGATGAATTTCTCAATTATTTTCTCTTTTCTATGGCTGTGAAATGAAAATACTGGTATTGGGCTTGCAGGTTAGCTCAACTGGTTACAGCGTGGTGTTATAACACCAAGGTCAAGGGTTTGGATCCCTGTATCAGACAGCTGTCAAAAAAAAAAATTACTAGTATCAATTTTACTCTTGTTCCATTGTAATCTCATGAGCTTTTATATCTCACAAGCTTTTAAAACTCTGTCTTTATTCTGGGTGTTCTAAAATTTCACAGTTATATAAATATGTGTTGATCTTTTTCAGTTATTTTGCCTCCCATTCACAGGGCCCTTCTAATCTGAGGACAATTGCTTTTCATCATGAGAAATTTTCTTCTATTAGTTCTTTGATTGTTTCTTCTCATTACTTTTAGTTCACACACCTTCTAAAACTACTCTCAGCAGAGATTAGAAACTGTGGATCTCCTACATTACTTAGCTTTTCCTTCACGATTTCTGTTTTTATCGTTTTACATTATATCTTAAGGGGAAAAAAGCTCAGCACAATCTTCCAATTTACTAATTTGCTCTTGAATTGTATCCACTCTGTTCTTCAGGCCATCTATAAGATTTTTCATTTTCAAGACCTCTCTAATTGTTTCTTTAAAAAAACAAAAATTCTTTCTACATGAACATGTCATTCTCTCTCACCTCTCTGAAAGATACCAATGACACTTCTTAAAGTCTCTTTCTTTTGCTTCCTATGCTAGGATTCTTCTATTCACTGGCTTTTGTGCTTCTCTTTCATGATGCTGGTTTTCCTGAAATCTATGTGGATTCTTTGCTATAGCACATTTCTACCTGTGAGAACTCTGTCAACCTGTCTATAAATGCTATTTCTGTTACTGCATGATGCTCTTTTGTGACCACAGTGAGGACATATTACTGGACAGGATGCGCCAATAGGTAATCTGCTAAACACAGGTATTCCTAGTTCCTCCAGAATGTTTCCATTCACCTTAAGGCTTTGACCCCAATTTATAATCATTATTCTATTTAGAGGGCATCTGCCTCTGCTACATGGCACAAAAGGCGGGCAGGATCCATATGGCTATTCTGATGCCACATTCAACTGACCACACTGAAATTTTTTCTAGGATCTTGAAGCATTGCTATTCCTTTTCTCAGTAGTCTTCTCCTGAGCTGAGCTAATGCTTCCTTCCTGAAACTGATCCCAATGGCCTTCTGTCTTTCAGAGATTCCTCACACTTTCTGGTCTTCCCAGGGCACTCTCTTATTGATAACAAGCTTTGCTAAAGTTACTTTGTTTTTAATCTTTAAAATCTTCAATTTTTTCTCTACTTTCTAAGGAAGTAATTCCAGGTAATCTCTTAAGATTGAGATGATTTTCTTTGTGATTTCCTCAAATAACTGATTTTTCTCTAATAACAATTTATCCTTTTATTAAGATTCTACTTTATAACATTCCTTTCACTAAGACTACTTTTAACATGCCAAAGGAAAACAAAAAGGAAGAGATAAACTTCATAAAGCCAATCAAATTCTTCAGGTCTTGGGCAATGCTGAAAGTCACTACTTTCAATTCAATAGTTCAATATGATTGTCTTCTAATGAACTGATTGGAAACCAATTTTTAAAATATGACTAAATGTTTAAAATTCATAAACAAAAATTTATATAGTTTTAACCAAAGCTAATATTAAAGTTTTCAATTACCTTTCTATTCACGTCTTAAAAGTATATTAACTATATAAAACAATATTATATATACATTATACTATAGTAAGTATACACTAAAAATATAGTACATATTATGTTATATATACAGTACATATGTAACTATATATAAATATATAAACTGTATTAACTAACACTTAAATACACCTAACTTTTTTTTATTCGTGTAATATATATTACATGTCCATTAGATGTTAAAAAAAAAAAAAACTAGACAATGCACTGCCTTCTAAAATTTATTACAAATCCTCAGATAAGGAAGTTGAGAGTCAGATTACAATGGGCCTTCAAAAAATTTATGGAAAACTTCGTATTATATTTTAATCATATTTTTCCACGCACTTTTTGAAGCACCCTTGTATTTTTTAAATTTTAGGTATCTGAAACACATTTCAGCTTTCTCAAAATTTGGTGGTAATAAATATAAGAGCTCTTTGAAATAGGTAACTGCAAAAGAAAATTTAAACCATACAGACATTAAAGAGAAGGCAAATTCTATAATAAAGTGTCAGATATTTGCATTAATTCCTAAGGTCACAAAGTCCTTCAAAACAGAAATGCAGCAATCTTACCTACCCTAACAGTTCATTCACTACCCTATAACTGTATTGCAGATGCTCATCAAAACAACAAAACCCAGAGAATATTAAATATAGATTTACAGAGTTAGAAGGAGCTTTTCAATAATACAATAGTTTAAAACAAAGACTTTGAACTCAAAAGACATATTTTAATTCCAAACATACCACTCACAAGTTGATGACTCTGGACAAGTTACGTGAGTTCTCCAAACCCCCGTTTCCTCAAGTATAAAATGGTGATAGCAATATAAGCCTAGAATTATTGTTATTATCCTCTGAACAAGGATTTCTTTGTCATTTTAACCCCTTTTAGTAAATATCTTCTCTTCTATTTTGTACTAGAAAATTATACGGAATTTCCCCCCATATGTAATACAGAATGTGTTCTCCCAGTTGTACACCATCCTATCCAAATCCATTACCTCTCTACTCCTAATATTCTCAAACCGCAAGCACCACTGACCATGTCCATCACCTTAGATAAAAAAAAAAAAAAAAAAAAAACAACTACTTTTGCCTGATTGGGGG